AGGACACACAAGGTTGCCTTAAGTGAAGATTTTAAAATCAATTAGTTTTTGAAAGATAAGCCCAGATTTTTTTCTTCAATGGGCTGTGAACTATTGTTGAATAATAAGAATCCTTTGTTTTTGCAGTTATCTAAGGAAAGAAGATCCATATTACCCCAATAACTTATTTGAGTATTTTTGTTTCTCAATGTCAACATTTTTATTTCTTGGAATTATTTATCCACTAATTTCCCTCCATTGTCACCATCCTTCTTCTTCATTGACAATGACTAAGGAGTAAATTTCAGATGAGGAAATTTTCAATTGGAGGAAGGAAGTGAGGGAAAAGTATTCTGATGGCAGCTGTTAGCATAATCCACCTTTAGAGAAAGTAGATTCAGCTTCATCCCAATCACTAACTTCTCAGGTGAATTTATGACGATGTAGTGAATTTCAAGGATGTGGCTTTTAGCATTATATTGTTACAGGCAGAAAAAGATGGCCTTGCGCTCAGGAATTTACAAGGAAACAAGTAATTGCAAAAAGGAAACACTTTTTTCTACTTTGGTATCCCATATTCATAAGAATGGTGACTTAGAAAATATATACATGCAAAACCCATTGGAATAACAAGGAAATTAGAGTAATTTCAGATATGATGGAAGTTACCTGCTCTAGCATCATCACCACCCTCTTCCCAATGAGAAATCATGATGTAGTTTATTTAGCTGTTGTTCTGTTTTCTTTTAAGATTTATTTATTTATTATGGGATACAGGCCAGAGGTACAAAGGGGTGAGAGAGTTCACCACAGAGTGGGGAGCAGAACAGGCAGATCCCTGAAGTACACTGCTGAGGGGAGCAGCGGGTGAGACAGGAGATGTCTGCCACGCCATGTGGTCACCTCCTGCTCTCCTAAGCCATTTGGTCACCTCCTAGGCAAGGATGGAGCTCACACTGAAGTGGTTGTGGCTCGCTTGCAGTGCTGCACTTTGAGCAGATGCACCAAGAGGGAGGCCCACTGTTGTTTTCTCAATCTTAAACCGCTCATGAACTATCTATGAATGGTTGGCCCATTTTTCCACTTTGTGACTGACTCAGTTTATTTCTTTTTATCCCTACAGAGTTATTCAAAGCATATCACTTATTCTCCAAAGTGTCAGTCTGGATGATAAATAGAGGAAACTCTATTTATTGATATTTGTTTTTGCAACTTTAGACTGACATCAACACTTCTCAAAGTTAATACTGAAGATCCTCTAATAAAAGATGAAAGTAAATATGACCCTAGAAATGGAAAAAGAGGACAAGTTCAGAGACAGAACTTAATCCACATATTCATATGATAAATTTCAAAAATATTACTTTGCCATAAAATCTATGTAACATTTCATTATGCATCAGAACAAATACTTTAAATTTAAAAGAAACAGAATAAAACAACAAATTTAAAGAGAATTGTGTCTTTAATCTGTTTCAATTAATTGGAGAAGTGCCATTGCACTGTGATGTAACTCATTGCATTGAGTCTATTTCAGTAATTTAGCTGATTGAATTAAAGAACAATATTTACCCAAGTAGAACTTCCAACCAATTTAATGTTTCTATTTGCCATTTGCTGCTATTGTTATAATTTGAGAACCCAGACCATTATGAATGTATTACGAAAATTAAGCTATTTTTGTTCAATTTGGCTATCATGACAACATGAAGATATAAAAATAGCTATGTTGGAAATGTTTAGATTATGCACATTTTCCCATATTAAAAATATATAAAGGTGCTATTATTCATCCTAATGAAGCAATGGATACATAGATAGGTTAAAGTTCAACTCTAATTCACCAAGTTGATAAATTAAGAGTTTGGCTTTTAAAGTCCAGGGACCTTGGCTCAATAAACCCCCCCCCCCTTTTTTTTTTTTTTTTCAAAGAACTGAGGTACAAGCCAGATGTACAAGGACAGTGAGAGGATTCACCAGAGATAGAAAGGGAGCAGAACAGGCAGACTGACAAAGTACACTACTGAGGGGAGCAGCGGGTGGGTCAGGTGTGGTCTGACGCACCATGTAGATCACCTCCGGGGTGGGGGATCAAACTCGTACTGAAGCCACTGTGGCCAGCTTGCAGTACTGTGTCCTAACCCATTGCACCACTAGGGTGGGCTTCAATAGCCCTTTTTGACCACTGGACCCTGACTCCACTTCAGTGTGCCTTTTAGAGTTTCCATAGCTTTACTAATTGCGGCTTCCTGATACCTTCTATTACCCAGTTCTCTGTTAAACTTACCTAACAGGGCCTGAAGTTGATCCACATGGCCTGGCAGACCTCTCCTGACCCACCCACTACTCCCCTCAGCAGTGTATTTTGTCAATCTGCCTGTTCTGCTCCCCACTCTGTCTCTGTTGAATCCTCTCACTGCCCCTGAATCTCTGGCTTGTACCCCAGTTCTGTATGCATAAATAAATAAATTAAAAAAAGAAACTTGTTAACAAAGGCTGAAGTATAATTCCAAAGAGCTCTAAGTTTGTCTTTTCAAGCTCTCTAGGTGATCTCTTATTAACTTGCCTATCTAACTGGTTTTAAGACAACACTGTAAAAGTTAATTTCCAATAACAGATCTGTATAAATAATTGAAAATACAATTTCTTAAACTTCTGTATTTTGATGGTTCATTGTTCCAGGTAGGAGAACTGTATTTTGGTGACTGTATTTTGATGGTTCATTGTTCCAGGTAGGAGAACTGTATTTTGATTTTACTTATGAAGGTTGGCAGGAATAGAAAGTGATTTTGGGAATCAATGTTTTTATGTGTCATCAAAATGAAAAAAAAAAAAAAGTGCCTCACTTTTCAGTCACTAAGTCATACAAAAAATGAACAAACTATGTTAGTGTTCATCTCAGAAAAATCAGATGTTCCAGTTCCTCAATCAAAGAAATCCAGATTGGCATTAATATGATGGGACAGCGGTACTTTCCAGAATTGTGCGCCTAATGCACTGAAAAGACTCCCACAAAAAATAAAACACAACTCTACCAGGTGTACGTAAACATTTTTTATCTATATTCTCTCATAAACTTCTACCCTTCTCTTAGTATCCTCTCAGATTTTCCTACCCCTCATGCAAATCAAAACTAAAATGACTCTGGAGAGCAAATACAATTAAGAATCCGTTGGCTAAATTTTTTATTTTATTTATTGATTGTCCTACATCATTTTTCATTTTCTGTACCATATTTGATGTCTCCAGGCTGTGTCTTTCCTATTATTCTCCCACCACTGCAGCACCTGTGACCATATGCCCCTAGTACCTTTTCCCTCACCTGTTTAGACCCCTTTCTCTCCCTCTGCCCTGATGCATGCCTCCTGTCTGTTTTGCCTGCAACTTGTGTCTTTTTCCATATCCTTTGTTAGGTTACCCTCTTTTCTTCCCCTCTGTGTACATGTTTCTACTCCATCTGTGTGTGTGTGTGTGTGTGACTTAACATAACACACACACACACAAAGCTGCAGAAATAATTAGAATGACAGAAAGCAAGTACATTCTGAAACCATCACTTCTGCTTTTTTTGTTTTCTGTTGCCAGAGTTGCTCGTTCATCTTATGTATGCTTGTATGTTTGCTTTTGCCATAATATTAAAAAGTACATTTCTTCCAAATGAACACACACAAACGGATGTTTTAGTAAAAGGAAAATTACTGGAAGACATTCTTAAAAATTCTAGAGAAGTAACAAGCTTCCAGTCACTGACTCCAGCTTTGTTCCTTAATCATTTCTTTAGACCTTTCCAAGCCTTGTGGGAACTTTAAATCTAGGCAGCCTGTGACTTTGCTTACTTCGGCACCACCCTGTTCCATTTCCTTCTAGTGCTTGATGACTCTACTAGCCGTTCAAACAGCAGGGACTGACTGTGTGTGTAGTTAAGACTTTTATCTTGTAGCTGCCTGTAGAGTCAATGACTGCCACATTCACCTAAAATCCTGAATTTATTTTTTTCTGGAGACAAGAGTGAGCCTTCCAGAATTTCCCTTCCCCTGCCCTTTGGGGACTACCATCGCACCCAAGGTTCCCTTAGGGCAGCAGCAGTTTATGAAAACTGAAAACGTGGCTTAATTTGAGGTAAAGTTTGCTTTTCTAAATAACTTTTCCTGATGTTTTGTTTTATATCCCCAGAGTACTATGTCCATGAACGATTTCCGTTTTGAACACATGTTTGTAATTTGAATGTTTTTGCCGAAATCCAGTTTCCCCACCGGAGGACACTCAGTATTGTTTACACTGTGCAGAATATTTTAGGTTGTCAAGGATTACTTTCATTTTTCTGTGTTCAGTGGACTCATCGAAAGCATATCCCAGGACTGGGGTTGTCTGGCAAAAATCTGAGCTTCATAAAGGAAAGAGGAATGTAGTTGAAGTCTGACTTCTCTGTTCTCATCTTTCCTTCACTCTCACACACATTCACAATATTTTAAAGCACTTTCCAGAATATAGACTGAATTGTTCACATGGTTCATTATTTCAGTAACTGGGGTTGGTTGTGGACCACATGACTTTGTTAGGGCAGAACAAAAGGAAGAAGTTGTTTTTCTCATTAAAGGAACCTCAGTATTTATGTCAGATGTCTTGGTTAGTTTCTCCTCAGAAGGACATTGTTTAATTATTTTTTTTCTTTTATTCCATTAATGTTTAAAATCAAGTTTAAACTTTTTTAATGTTCAACTGTGGCTCACCTTAAATAGGAGAATGTGTGATATCATGTAGGCTTAACATAATCACCTAATATTTCTGGTATGATTTAAAATATTTTTCTGTTTATTTTTTAAAGTAAGTATCATTAAGAAATTACTTTCCGGGCCCTCCCTGGTGACGCAACAGGTTGGGATGCAGCACTGCAAGTGAGCTGCAGCTGCTTCAGTGTGAGTTTGATCCCCGCCCAGGAGGTGACCCACATGGCACGGCAGACCTCTCCTAATCTGCCTGCTGCTCCCCTCAGCAGTGTACTTCATTGATCTGCCTGGTTTGCTCCCCATTCTGTCTCTGGTAAGCCTCTCACCGCCCCTGCACCCCTGGCTTGTACCCCAGTTCTGTATGCATAAGTAAATCTTTAAAAAATAAAATATAAATAAATCTTAAAAACATAAAGAAAAAAATTACCTTCCAGGATACCTGGCATAATGCTAATTACCTTATGCAATCTTCCTGCACCTAGCTACTCATACCCATTTCTAGTTGTGAACTCATCAGCATTCCCTGCTCATGATGATGCAATGCTACTTTAGATTTTAAAATTGGTTGCACCCTCTATCCAGATGAGACTAGTATGTATTTAGAATCAGCTGCCTTATTTTCATTTTGTTAGTTATGTTCATCCTTTTCTGACAACACTCTTATGGCACGTAAACCTTCTGTCAGAGGAAAGTTTGCTTTGTGAAAGTAAATTCTTCTTACAAGCTGTGAACACCCTTACTTTAATGAGATAAATCACTAACATGTTTTCACTTTGAATTGGCCCACCCAAGGCAGATTTGCAGTGTGACCAAATGAACAGAGCTAGAAAAATGGAAATCTATTTCTAGTTTTCTATGCACATGTTCCATATCTTTGTAAACAATCTCTGAAATTTTCTTTCCTAATCTCACCTACAAAATGAAATCTTCAGGTGGGTAATGATTACAAATAGTGTATATTAAGTAAATCAGTGTAATTTATTTTCTTGAAGACACTTAAGTTACTTGCTAAATCATTTTTATATATCTAATATTTTTAGCAAGGAGATTAAAAGTGGTTAAAATCTTGGTTCTCAGTTTTTCTTTTGCATAAATAAATGAAGAAGACAGCATAAAACATAAAATCTAGCCAAGAATGATGTTATTAATATATAACATATGTTAACCACTTACTGTTTAGGGAACAATTTGTTCATATGCAGATATGATAGTAGCTATTATGAAAAGGAATTTGCTCCCTAATACTTAGTTGCTTTCCCATGATAATCTGTGTGCATAAAAGGAATCAGTAAATGGAGTTGTAAAACTACCAAGTTTTACATATTAGAGCCAAAGAAGAAAATATGTGCTTATTTTCTTCAGTTAACAGAATATACTAGAATTCAAATAAAGTTTGGGATATTTCATGCTTTACAAAATCTAGGAAGAAATATTTTCTAAGAAATTAATAGAATAAATTATAAGGAAAAAATCTTTATTATTGTAATTCAAATCTAGTATATAACTATCCTATGTTGACTTCTGCTGTCACTCATTCCTTTATAACCAAACAGGGAAATAATTCTATCCTCAAGTTCTTAGAAGATTCGGAGTGGGAGTACAAGTTTTATCATTGATTTACACAGTATTTCAATCTCTTCTTCATTCCAAGTATTGTACTCAGACTTAATTTCAATTCATTCACTCTTTCTTTCTGCTAAGTTCCTGACCAACCAAATTATCATCCCTTTGTGAGACTGCTGACATGTTCCACAGTATTTCATGCTTTAAAAGAGAATTTTTTTCTAAGATCCTCCCCTCTGTACTAACAAAGGACTATTAATCTAAACAGATATTTTACAAAAAATAGAGGCTAATTGAAAAGCAGTTAGAAGATAACATGAATATTAATATAAAATGCTTAATATTTACTTTGATCATATACTCTTGAGTTTCTGAGGTCCTCAGTCTTTTTTCTTAATCTATAACTAATAAAAAATGATATTTAAATTATTTTCACTGGATTTCTAACACAAAATATCATATAAGACAGAACCACAATTTAATTAAAAGCTTTAACTGGGGAAATAAAAATCTTTGTTTTTGTGTATACACCCATCAATAATAATGTGTAAAATATGACATATAATGCATTATTTTATAATGTGAAATGAAGAAATTTTTGTTCAGATTTCTCTCCTCTAGACATTTTTTTAAGAGTTGGTGAGGGAAGTTGGAGGAGTTATCTCTATAACACCAAGTTGTTGCAACATATTTTTCCTAATCAAAAGAATGCTTTCTATTCAAATCAATTTTAAGCATAACTATTTAAGCCACAACATTTAAATTAGTGTTTTGTCTGTGATTCCCATTATACAAGTGACTATGGAAAACTTTGATGCATTCACTGTTTAAAACATTCTCAAGGAATTGGAAGATCAAATTACATAAAGATAATAGCTATTTGTATGATAGAAATTATATTTCTCTATATAGAAACTGTAAATCTTTGAAGTCTGTTTTAGGCATTTTAGTAGAAGTAATATAAACTCATCTGATATCTTTAAAATGTAACATTACTTTTCTTCTCCAGTGAGACTGGGATTAAATTATTAACTTTGCATGGGTCTAGCACTTGATGACCTTTGAACTGAAATATTACATCAGATCACCTGACTTTTAGGTTTTCAAATTCATAGTAGAACTAAATAGTCAGTTACTCTAGTCAATAAACTACCAGTTCATCCTGCAGAACTTGGAACTTGCTTTGCTCTAAAATTACATGTACTGGTTTTGTATAGTGAATCTCTTTATCTATGTATCTGTGTGTATATAGTGCACATGTGTATATATAATATAAATATTGCTTTAATTACTCTTTGGTTAGTAAATATTATCATCATAAATTGCTAAGCTTTTGAATATTAACCTGGTTCCTCCCTGGTGGTGATATGGGTTAAAGTACAGCATTATGAAGCTATCTGCAGCCACTGCACCACAAGTTCGGCTCCTGGCCAGGGAGGTGCCTCACATGGCATGGCAGAACTCTCCTGACTTTCCTGATATTCCTTTCCTGTGTTTCAGCAAATCTGCCTGTTCTGTTCCCCACTGTCCTCTCACCCCTCCACATCTCAGGACTGTACCCCAGTTCTTGTATGCATAAAGAAATCTTTTTTCAAAAAAAGAAAATATTAACCTACTGAATTTTTCAAATATTTTTTTCTCAGTTGGATGTTTGATCTTTTTTAAAAAATTATTTATTTATGCTTACAAGAACTGGGGTGCAGGCCAGAGGTGCAGGGGGTAAGAAAATTTACCAGAAATAGAGCCGGTAGCAGACAGAAAAACCTAGTGAAATATACTAGGAGGTTATATAGAGATAATGTATATAATGTAACATATAAATGTATTTCTATCTATTTCTCTATGTACCTCTATATATGGAGATTTCTCTCGATACAGAGAGAATCTATTGTAAGAAATTGACTCTCACATTAATGGAGAAGGCCTATTTACATGGGGAAGAAGAGGGTAAGTAGCAGGCACTAGATTAACTTTTTGTATGAAATAACCAAAACAAATGTTAGTGAATAAGAAACACAGCAATTGTCACTATTTCTACAGCTTAATGCCTCAAAATTCTCATGTTATAGCTTATAGAGTACAAATTCAAGCACAATATCATCAATTCAGTATTAATTTACCAGGTATGAAAGCAGATAGAAAATTAAAAAAAATCAATTTCAAACACACACACGCACACATAACAATAATCATGCTAGGCACATCTTAATTAGTTAAAACCAGTGACAGAGAAAAAATATCATAGAAACAGATGCATTATTTAACAGAAAAACAAATGTGAGAAAGAATAAATTTCTGCAAGGAAAAATGAAATAGAGCTAAAGTATAGCAATGATTGTTAGATTTAGTTTGCCTTAAGTCCAGATATCTTTTAATGTACTTCTGTGAAATATGATTTTCAATTCAAAGTGACATAAGCAATTCCATTTCTTTTCAGTTTCAACTAAAGACCTTTGTTCCTTTTGTCACTAAGCCAATAGCTGCTCTTGCAATATAACTTTATACACACAAAAATGCCCTTTGTATTTAGATCTCTGAGTGCTTAATGTTTTAAAGGTCAATTTTAATCTGTGTCTTGTTATAGTGTCTTAAGAATAACATTAGTTACTCAGTTTCTGATTGTTACCCCCTCCTCTTCATTATTTGTCAGTAAATTTTGTACCAAGATTTTGCACAAAATTGGCAAAAAATGAATTCCCCTAAAGAATTCCTGAGAAAAGATCTGAAGATGGTCCATGGCTACCCCATGGTCTATGCTTTTGCAAACAACTGGGAAAGGATTGAGGAGTTCCAGAGCAGACCAGATGATATCATAATAGCCACTTACCCCAAATCAGGTGAGTGTTGTGGCCCAACAACATGTCTGAGCTCAACCTTTGTTTTGTGATAAATCAACTCCTCTATAAAAATCAGTATTATCCTAAATCAATATTCTTAGCAGTCAATCTAATTATCTACTTCTTATATTTTAAAAATAGGCATTTGGGATACAGAAAGAGAACTAATTTTCTAATAGAGTATTTAAGATGGCAATTAGTGGCAGACTTCTGATAAGTACTTCGTTTTTCCCAGGTGCAGGAAATAATTATAAAAAAATGTTTCTTTCTGCCACAGGTACCACTTGGGTTAGTGAAATTGTGGATATGGTTCTAAATAATGGAGATGTTGAAAAATGTAAACGAGATTTTATTAATGTTCGAGTTCCAATGTTGGAAATGGCGGTCCCAGGAAGAACTTCAGGTAATCTTAAGCCACCTGTGAATTATTATAATTTTGTGATTTAACTTAGATAGCATATAAAGCAAATAAGCATATAGCATATAAAAGTAGCTAGCAAAAGAAACTGAAAAGAAATTCTCAGTGAGCTAAGTGAGAATTAGATGTCCTGGAGGCTTGTGGAAGGACTCATAATGTGAGGTGTGGTTCTCAAATGCTGCTGCTAATCTGGAATAAGAAGCCAGAGGACATGTAGGCCAATTTAAAGAGTAGCACCCAAATTTTCTCTCCTGCTGGAGGTAGTGAAGCATATAATCCAAGACCAAGTGTCACTCCTTTTGTGGTTGATTGAAGTCAAAGATCGAATGCTATAGCATTGAACTAAATGATTATTCTGGAGCAATCAGCCAAAATACAGTGAGTTAAGACTCCAGAGCCATAGAGAGTAGTAAATGAAGAAGAGATAGCATCATAGTAATTAGGGACAGGGAAGTCAGTCTTTACTAATGAGTGACAGCAAATGGGAACTGGAAGCAAGACTGTGTAGTGCCAATGGAGAATCAACCGGGGACATTCAACACAAAATAGTGTAAACTGGAACCACATATACTTTGGAGTCTGAATGTGGATATTTGTTAACAGGGTAGCCCATTGCAGATTGGGCCACCTGTCCGTGGGGCCTCACCCGCACGTTCACAATTCAGTTATACTGCAGGTACACACAAAAGGGCCAATAACGGGTTTATTTACAAAAAGGGAAAGGAATAGGAAACAACCCAGGGAAAATGAACGGGATACAAAGTAACTGGAATACCTTACGGCTAGGCTGACTAAACACACAAGAGTCACGAGGTCAGGAGAGCTGCTTCCTGAGCGAGAGAGCGTGAGGTGCAATCGCACCCTATTTATCCCCCAAATGTCCCAGAATTCCTGCTAGCTCCACCCTTGGATCCTCGCAGTTCTCTCCCTGGTACTGCTGGGAGTTGTAGTTTCCCATCACTGTAGTAGGGTGAG